GGCGTCTGTCCTGCCAGGGGCCGGGGCTGGCTCTGCAGACAGCCTCTTTTCTATATGGAAATGAAGAATTTAGGCTAATGGAGCTCAACCATCTCTAATTTTGCGATGGCAGGAGGATTTTGATTGAAAGTAATTAAGCAAGCTAGCTGTAAAATTAATTAAAGCAAAAGGGGGGGATTTTTTATTGGATTGGATAGCGATATAGCGTCTGTCAGGCGGGGGACGGATGGGGGTGACCTGAATCCTCTGCCCTCCCCCCTCCCACTCGGGACGTTTATGTCACTTTAATCTCCTTACAGCGGCTGCTGTGCATTTGTTTGAAATAATCAAGGAAATATGGTCAGAAATTGTCAGCTTTCAGATCTAATTTACCTGACGGCCCCTGTGCGAGCTGGTGCGGCCCGGGGAGTGAGCGTGCGTGAGTGGGTGGGGGAGCTAAGTGGGCTCCAAGCACAAGCATGGGGCTCTGCAGCCTGCGCCCCGGCCTCGGGCACCCTCCGATGGGGGACCTCCCTGGGCTTTGACCCTTTGTGGAACAGACCCCACCCCCATCCACCTGCTGCCTCTTCCTCCCCCTAAAACCAGCTTTAGAGTTTAGGGACATAGGATTAGGGAGGTGGTTGTAATTCCTTATTCCAGATGGCTGACAACTGCTAAACCCCTCCACCAGGGCCACGGTTTTAAAAATACTCCTAAATTAGTCCCCTCATGTCCTCCTTGTTGGCCTCAGCCAGGGGATTGAGGAGATGGGCTGTAGGGAGGGTGGGCGGCATGTCGCCCTCCCTCCCACCTCTTCTAGCTGTCCTGACCTCTCTGTCCTTTTTTGCCCGAAGCCCAGAATGGAGCTTACCCTGATTCTTCTTCATAGCACAGCTCACAAGGTCTGGGGTCCTGATCCCTGCCAGAGGACCCCCAACCCCCATGCCACACAGACCTACCCATTGCCAGTGGGTGAACCAGCCTCCACTTGCATGTCCCTGAGTAACGGAGAGCCTGACTGCTAGGCCCTGCGGTCCCAGGCCCTGATTCAGAGATTGAGGTGCTTTCCCAGGTGGGCCAGGGTGGGGCTCAACCCTCCCTAGAATGAGCCTCTGGGGTGTTTAGGGCCCACAGGCCCTGGAGCAGTCTGTTCTCAGGACTGTAGAAAGTCACACACACACTTTGGTTTTTTGTTTTGTTTTGGTTGTTTTTTTGGTACTGAGAATTTAACCCAGGGCCTTTGCCCTGAACTACATTCCCAGACCTTTTATATTTTTTATTTAGAGTCAGGGTCTTGCTAAGTCACTAATCTGTCTAGGCTAGATTCAAATCTGTGACTCAAACTCCTGCCTCTCAAATGCTGGGATTACACAAAGTTCCCCTTTAACCCAAAATGTACTGCATTTGGCTTTGCCAGGCATTCGAGGTCCCTGAGTGGGAAGTGGGTCTCTGGATCTCCCATGATCCTAATCAGCGAGTGATCCAGGCTTTCATCAAATCTCCCTGCTTCTTAGGCCACGTTCGTCTTCCCATTCTGAAACCCGGTGCAGACCCAGGACAGCCTCCGCCCTGGAAGTTGCTGCCACCTGAGTGCCTGCTGCTCCGGAAGCCCCTTGTTCAGCCAGAGTTCCTTGACTGCCCCTGGCACAGGGGGAGGTCGGGTGTCCTAGAAACAAGATGAGAGTGAACAGCTGCTCCTCGTTTGCCCACTATAGCAAGCATCCACTACAAGGCTTCTGTCCCCACCTGTCCTCTGTGGGGTTCCCCCAGCAACCTCTGCCTGGTCTTCCACCAGTTCTTCCCTAGCCTTGAGGGCACTTCCAGCCCCCGGCTGGCTCTGGCGCTGGGCTGTGACTCAGTCTGCCTCCTGAGCAGCAGCAGCACCCAACGGGAGTGAGTACCAGCTCCTCTTGTCACTCAGCCTCGCTGCTGAGCACGGCAGCTGGAAGTTGGGGAAGCATCTCCTGCACCTTCTTCAGTGCTCTCTGCCCTGACCTCCACTCTCCCAGCCATGAGTCACTCAGCCCAGTGGGTAGCGATGAAGCCCTGAAGAGCTCTACCCAGGAAAGGGGGAGAAAAGGACACAGTTCCTCAAGCACTGGACCATGAAGGCCTTTGGGACCCTGCCCTCCCCTGCTGCCTGAGGCCACAGGGGCCGTGGTGAGAGGGGATGAAATGGTTGGGTGTCACGGGCTTCACAAGAGACCCTCTCTGCCCTTTGTGCTGCCCAGAGCCCACATCCCAGGAGACCAGAGGTTAGAGAGCCTTGGGACCCAGCCCAGCCTATGCCACTGGGACAGGAAGGGACCAGCCTGGGGCGTACACCAGGGCCCAGTGGGCCGCCTGCCCTGGGAAAGGGGCTGGATCTGAGCTGGGAGCTAGTCCAGGGCTCGAGGTGGTGGTAGGTGGAGGTGGAGGGAGGCTTCTGCAGAAAGGATCTGAGGCAGGCCCGAGCAGACTGGCACACAGAGGCACAGAGGGGCTGCAGCCGCCACGCGAAAGAGACGTCGCAGGCTCCTGGTGTCTGAGGCCTCTCTTTGCCCTAGTGGGAAACTTGGGTTGGGGATGCTGTACTGAAAATACACTTTTTGGAGCTAATCCTATTGGGTAAGGAGAGAACTTGGTTCTGCACTGGCTCTTCTTGTGGAAGACAGACAGGCGTGGGCAGTGAGGCTGACCATGGGCACTGGGGGTATAAGTCAGAGGACAGCTGTGAGGAGCACAGCCCTGCCCCAGTGGCCCCTGGGGGTCTGGGAGAGGGAAGACTGAGAGGGCAGCTTGGGGCTACTCAGCCTATCAGTGCCTTGTTATTGTCTGTCACCTGGCCAGCACGAGGCGGTCTCCACTCCTGAGATAACACATGGTAGCTGCCCTGCTCTCCTCAGGGGGGTTTCCTTGCCTCACACAAATTAATGAGACAGCCAGCTGACCACCAAACACTCACATGCATATGCCCAAAGATTTCTGCCGTCTTTTCTTCCCCAGGCCCCCGTGCTATGAGGGAACCAGGGAGGATGCCGGTCTCTTCTCCCCAGGACCCTCCCTACCTGTCCTGTCTCTCCGCCCCCTTAGAGCTGGCTGTCTGAGCCTCTGGGGCAGAAGTCCTCTGTGGTGGGAGAGAAGACAAGGCCGGGATAACTGGTGCTCTGGTCTTGTCCAGCCTCCAGCCTCCACTCCCTGCAAACGTGGGGGTTGAGGACTTCCCCAGGGGGCTCCACATGGCCCGGCAGGCGGGTGATCTCTCCTGTTAGGGGAGGTAGCCTTGCATGAGTCATCTGGCTGATCTCCCTGTCCTAGAGCAGGAAGAGAAAGGCCTTTCCCTAGAGTTCTTCCTCGTTCTTAATAAGGGCTAGTAGAGTTCTCAGGGTGTCCTGGCCACAGGAACAGGGGTGGGTGAGAGGTTCCTGACCAACTGGGAGAGAAGTCCAGAGTGTCAGGAGTCCAGCCTCAGGAATCATTAACTGCTGCAGGGTCTTGTCATCCTCACAGTGCCAGGGACTTGACATTTCCTCCAGCCTGGTCCATGCTGGAGTTGGCTAGATGTGACCAAGGAACTGGGCTCCCGGAAGTGCCTGGGGACAGACTGGACTCTTGAAGCCTGCTCTAGTCTGCAGGGTTCTCTGCTGTCAGACCTCTCCTGCTCATGCTGTGCCTACCCTGCTACCCCAGACCACCAGTCTGGACTTGATTTCTTGCCCTTCAGGCCTCAAGTCTCCCTGGCCCAACGCTGGCCCGTCCTCTGTCCCCCCTGGCTTCACAGTCGCATTTTGCTGCCAGCGCAGGGCACTGAAAAACTGCTGGCACTGCCAAAAACCCTGTGTGCGCTATGACTCCCCAAACATCCCTTTATTTTTATTGTTCTGTTAATTACTGTTTAAACTTTAATAAGTCACTTCGTCAGGAGGGGGGACCTGCCGTGAGCTTTTCTGTGCAAACACAGGCCGGGAGTGACTCGGGTGTAATATAACCCTTTATGCGATGTGGGAATGTTTAGATTGTAACAGAAACTTGTTATTTTAATGACAGTTGGGGGTGTCTGAGCAGGGAGGAGAGGAAGGGTGGGCGCTCCCCTTCATCCCCACTGAGGGCTCGGAATGGCCTGGCCTGGCCTCATCAAGGTTGCTATCTTGCTGCTGACCACACCAGAGGGTCCAGCATGCCCAGGCCTTCCCTGGCTCCCCACCCAGAGGGAGACCCAGCAGTTCTAGGTGGGAAGATCCAGCCCCAGATGGCCAGGCAGGTGAGGGCCCAGAAGAAGGTTGGGCTCTGGGGACAGACAAGCAGCAGGCACTGGGCAGGCCTCTGATCCCTGGGCAGAGCTAGGGAGGACCTGGACTCTACACCTAGTTGTCCCCACAGTTACCAGGGAAGGGACTCTGCCCATGGTCACCACTGAGCAGTGGCAGGCACCCTGTGCTCTACAGCTCTGTGCTAGACATGTCACCACATTATCTCTCCAACACAGTGTGTCACAGCTGAGGACCCTGAGGCCCAGGGCAAAGGAGACTTGCACAGAGGGGGCTGTGACTGGTGTTGATTGATTTGGAAGTTGCCGAAGCTGAGGTGCCCAAGTGTGGTCTCAGAAGGCTGCTCACTGTCCCTCGGTGGCAGTGTGGGGAGGGGTACAAACCCCACAGTGGCATCCAGAACGGTGCTTGTGACCAGGGTGAGGGGGATGTTGGGCAGGATCACCCTCAGGTCCCTCCTGACTCCCATCAGGAGAAGCTAGAAGGCCAGGTTGGAGTCGCCTGAAGTCTGGGGATGAGGACCACCAGCTGTCTTCCTTACAGGGTCCTCTGGGAAGTCAGGGGCTCAGGCCCAATGATGATGGGTTACATCTCGATTCTCTTCCCAGAGGCACTTTTGCCCCAGACCTGCATCCACAGCAGGGAAATCTGTGGGGGACACGTTGCCCTCAGGGTCCGTGGGGCTCCTGCTGGGACCTCAGGTCACCCCACTGCCTATTTCCTTGCTTTGTCTTCTTTTGGTCCATCTATCTCTCTCTCTCTCTCTATCTACAGAGCCAAGCTTCTGCTCTATTCCAGGCACCAGAGTGGTAGAAATGAAGGAGCCCTGTTCCTGCTTTCAAGGGCCCGTGCCTGGTCAGTGTTAGCAAAGTGGCCTTGGGGAAGGGCAGGACTGGGGGCTGCCTCTGCCCAGGGCTGGCACCATCCAGTCTGGCCACGGAGGCAGACCCTTGCACTCTGGCTCTCCTGTCCCACTCTAGCTGCCTGCCACTGAGAGCACCCCTGGGAAGCCATCCTTGCCCTAACCCCCACCTCCTGCCGTCCAGGGCCAGAGGTTCAGGGCCCAGGTGCCCTCATGCTGGAGAGAGAGCCCCCAGATGGTGGTGTCGGTGGCGTGGGCCATGAATCGCTGAGGTTTTCCTTTTCCAAGCAGTGCGTTTTCCTAAATTGTCTTTGACTGTGTGCATGGGTAATGAAAGTTTATGCCCTTGTTAGAAGGACAGGCGGCCAGTTCCAGTTAGAACTGGGGCTGTCTCCCTGCCAGCCCCCTCTCCCCCCTCCCCAGCAGGAGAGAGAGAATATGAACACGATTGTGTGTGTGTTTGTGTGTGTGTGTGTGTGCGTGTGTGTGTGTGTACACACAAGCCCCCTCCCTGGTGGATAAGAAGGCTGTTAGGAGAAGGGAGAGGGGACAGAAAAAAGAAAAAAATTTCCATATTTGTGTAAGTTGCTTTAAAAGCATTTTATCATGTCATAAAAAAGGGAAAGTACTCTCAGAAATTGATCCTCTCCGCCAGCCCATTGGACAGAAGGACGTTGGGATGTTAATGGCCATCCTGCTCCAGGGTGGCTTATTAAAAAATTTATACATAAATGCTTAAAATTGCATAAATTATTTAAAAAAAACCAACAAAGTAAGCAATTTGAATTCCCTCCCCCCCACACTCGATTCCCCCTTTTCCAGCCCCCTCCTCGGGGCCCTCCTGGTCCCTAGACTCCTGTCCCACTCCTCAGGGTGCCCCCCTCTTTTCTCCACTTCCCACCACACCCCCACACTGTCTGCCCTGCCCTTCTCCAGGGGTTTCCCTGCCTCACCCACAAAGTAATGAAACAGCCACCCCACCACCAAACACTCACATGCACACGCACTAATAAAAACACCACTAATAATGCCCCAAATCGCAAAATTAAATATTAAGGCCAAAGGAGGCGGACGTGGAACAGAGCTACCGCCACCATAGCCGAAGTTGGAGCTGATGAGTGTGTCTCTCGCAGGCGTGGAATGTCACCCACACATCCTGGAGACTGGAGTGGGGAGTTTTATGATGGTTTTTCATTGATTTGTTTCCCCAGCGCAGCTGCCGACCTCTATTGAGGGACAAACATAATCAGCACTGACGCAAATTAGATGGTTATTCGTTTTGAAAATTGACAGAAAAACAATAAAAAAGATGAAATGCTCCCAAATCAATAGATATAATGAAATTCAAATAATCCGAGAGATGAGGTCTCCATGGCAACTGATAATGTGGAAAAGAAAACAATTTAATAAAGGACAGACACACTTTGAAAACAGATTGGGCCCGGGGAGGGGGGCGGGCTGGTGGGCGGAGGGCTGGAGCGCGGGCTGGCGAGTGAAGGATCACTGTCCGTCCCAAGGACACCCGCCATAATTAAGCGAGGCTTTCGGCCCCAGAAAGTGCAGATTCAGGTTTTAATACACAAAATTATTTCAGGAGCAGTGAATCGGAAAGTCGTTTGTAATGACCTTCCTGAGAGGCCCGGGCGCGGGGCATGTTGGAGGCTGGGCGGCCGGGCGGCTGAGTTATGGCATATTTGTGTTTTTATAGTGCGGAGGGGAGGGGGCAGTGGGGGGGGAAGGTTAAACAGTATTTACAGCTCAGTTGTTTTCAGAGAGGAAAGAGAAATAGAGTTCATGGGGAGATGCAGCGGGCGGGTGAGCAGAGAGGCCTCCCGGGCAGCACAGAGGGGAGGTGGGTCTGGGCAGGTCTCCCCCTAAGTCCTCCTCGGGACCAGGAGGAGCTGCCAGGAGCCACCTCCTCCACAGCGGCGCGGAGGCCCGTGGTGTCGCTCAGCCTGTAGGGCCTGCTAGGTCCGGGGCCGTTCCAGGGACGGGCGAAAGCTGAGTCCAGGCTGCGCGCACACAGCTGCAGGTACTTAGTAATGAGCTGGGCATTTCTGCAGCTGCCACGGTGAGATCCCGTGCTGTTCACCCTAACCTCATGTCCTCCGGTCTCTGCCTGGCAACTGGTCACTCATTCTGATGGCGCTGCCCTTCTGGAGCCTGATGCCGGGGACAGCAAGAGGACCTCAGATGAGCACGTAGGGATGACATGCCCCATTTCAGGGGCCTGTAGCCCACATCCACCTTGCCCTCTCTTCTTTGGCTCCACCTCCCTGCCTCGTGCCTGCCTTGGGCATGCAAAAGGGAAAAGCTTAGAACCTTTGGGTTTGCACAGGTGGGGGCCACAGAGAGGGCAGGGGTCTGCTTAGGCATTGTCCTGAAGCAGGGCAGCTGAGCACCCATAGCCTGTCTCCAGGGGCACCCTGAGGGCCCCTGCCCAGGCTGTGTCTCCCTTCCCTTCCGGATGCAGGAGCCGTATTTGTGTTCTGTTTTGGTGACCACACACAGCATTTCCATTTTCTGGGACACTATACATGTTCATGTGTGAATATAATGTGATTGTACAAATTTAGACACCTGAACGTGTGTGTGCAGTCACAGACACTCGCACTGTGTGTTTGCTGTGTGTGTGTGTGTGTGTGTGTGTGTGTGTGTTTTAAATCTCCCCTGGGTGGTAACTCTCTTTTTTCTCCCCTTCCTGTTTGGCTGTGACCTGGGGGAGATTGATAGCCAGCCTGCGCGGTGGATGCTAACAGTTCCCCTGATTTATAGAGTTACTTACGCTAAGTGAGGCCACTTAGACGCGTCTGGATAGTAAACCTTTTAACTGGACTAAAAAATCATAATAAATAAATAAACAAAGGGGGGCAAGCTAGGGCCCAGCAGCCAAGCCCCGCCCACTCCCAGCTTGGCTCTCTTTGAGGACCTGGGACCAGGCCAAGAACCCCAGGGGAGCAGCCACCACTCTTCTTTCCCTCCCACAGAATCTCCCCTCCTGCGGAATCTCTCCCGTCCATCGTCCATTTCCTTCTGTCCTGAGCCAGGGATGGGATTGGGCCCTCAAGGGGAGGACGCCCTTCCTCCAGGGGACAGTCCTGGCTGGGCAAGCTGAGGAGAGGACCGTTCAGATGGAGACAGGGAGGGTAGTGGGTATCCAGCCAGCCTTCCCTGCACGCAGACTTGCTGCTTGTGTGGCACTATGATGGTTCCTGTGATGACTTAAACATTCATTCACTTGTCTGAATGAACCATCCGCAAGGTAGGGACCAGAGTAATGTAGGACCTGGGGCCGCCTGTCTTGCTCATATCGTAGCCTCGGGATTCAGTCCAGGGCCTGGCCTGCAGAATGTGCTCAGGCTCATGGCAGGGACATAGGCACAAACTGAGGCTTGTGGTCCCCAAAGTTCGAGTTCTGAAGAGGCAGTGAGGTGGAAACTTCCACAGTGCGCTGGCGCTGAGACTCTAGGACAGCTGGATGGAAGGCAGTAGAAGTGTGGGGTATAAGACTGACCCTAGAGAGTCAGGCTCCACACTGACTTGGTGACCAGACACCATTACCAATGTGGCCACTGCTGCTGCCTCCTCCAGAGATGGGGACAGGACCCCTGGTATATAGGGATCCTGGGGGAACACTATGGTGGCTGTCAGTGCTCGGAAGGTGCCAGCTGCCGTATGGTTCTAGCCATCACTGGCTAGGGCAGCACCAAAGTGGCTGGCCAGTGCCCATGAACCCCCAGGCTGCCTGGCAGCAGGCAGTCAAGGCCGCACCTCCACCCCAAGGGACTGGCTGCTGGCCCCTGCCTGCCCACCTCCTGATATACAGCGGGCATTAGGCCGCCCAAAGGGGATACTACATCCTTAGGAAGAAATATGTCCTCATTTTTCTTAAACACCGTTTCCACTGAGTGAAATGTTTAGAAGGGACGCGCAGGGAGAACTTTATTTCCTACCAGGGAGTTCAGAGCCACCAAGCAGAGCCCATAAAGCACCCGGAGCCTGGTATCTGACAGGCAGCCCAGCCCCAAAACACATTACTCACGGGTAGGGAGGCGCTGCCAGGCCTGCCCAGCCCCCTGGGACTGCCCCCGCCCTGGCAGTACAAGCTACTCCCAGACCCAGGCCCTGGCAGTGGGCACCAAGCCTCCCCTCCCCTAGAATGTGGGAGAGGACCTGGTCCTGGCCCTGACCAGGTGAGGAAGGAGCCGTTCTTCAGCTGCCCTGCCTCTACCTTCTGAGTCAGGGAGATGAGGGAACAAGGGGTCCAGGTGCAGTGCTGGAGCCCCCCTTTCTCACCCAGAACTGGCAGGAGCACTGGCCTTCCCCAGTCTTTGGAGGGAGTGATGAGATTCATGCCATAACGGGCCCCTTCTCCTGAGGCCCTCCCTTCATTCGATTTCTGAAGCTGGCTGATTTGAATATTTATAAATATCAGTAAATTATTTATTGTAGCAATCTGCTGCACCATTTTACCCATCGCAGTTAACACTTTAGGGGGCTCTGTGTTATGGGAACAGGAAGCAGGGGTGAGGAGGAGGATGGGGAAGGGGAGGAATGGAGCCCCATTAGCGAGGACCTCCCAGAACTTTCCCTGGAGCCTAGTGGAGCAGACCTGAGCCCTGATCTTCTTGTGCTCCTGGCATGGCAGCCCCAGGCTCTGGGGTGTCTGCGGCTTCAGGATCAACTTCTTCCTATCAAATGGGGCAGTGATTGTACCTGCTCAGCGTGTCATTAGTTATCAGAAATCAGGGCCATTGTGCTGTAAAGGACAGTCACTTTGTACCTCTTTCCCGACCGCAGAGGGATCTGCTGAGCTCAGGGACGAGGGCTGTCTGTGAGCAGAGTTTGCTGAGTTTGCTGAGTTTGGAGCCCTGGTGGGGAAGCTTTGGAACCTGGGTGGCTGAGGAGACACCGTTTGCTGGGATGAGGGGGAAGGCTGTGAGGACAGCCTCAAGCCTCTCCTTTCCTCACTGTCTTCCTTACTGTCTAGTCAGGGGAAGGTTCCAGGTCTTAGGATCTTGAGCCTAAGATGTGGTACCACATCTGTCGGTTGTCCCTTCCCGGGGCTCACCTGCCTTTCCCCAGCTCCTTGCTTGCCAGGCCCTGAACTTAGCACAGCTGGGCTCCCTCACCTGCAACCGTTCTTCATGGAGAAGCCTGCCCAGCCCAGAGCCCACAAGGGAGAGCCTGGCCACGTGCGCACAGCTCTGACCCCAGGGGCCAGGCCATGCCCACACTGTGCCACCTCCCAGGGTTCACCCTGGCCAGGCCAGAGCCACTAGGGCCAGAGGCTGGAGGCTACCAGGAGCAGAGTGGGCTCCCTGCCAAGCCCTCTAGGGCTGCCCTCCCCTGCCCCGTCTGCCCATCCTGGGTGAGTAGGACAGGAGTCCCCTCTTCCCATCCCCGCCCCGGCCTACCTCCTGGGCAGCATTGTTCCCAGAGGAAGTGTCTAGTGTAAATAGAGCAGCGGGCAGGCCGGTGGCGGGAAGGAGATGAAAGGGGCAGTGACAGGGCCAGGGACTGATGGCTTCCTTCCATTGAGGCCTGGCCACGGCGTTTATGTTTTAGGGAAGAAAGTCAAAGGAATGTTTACATGGACAGGAGTCTGGGGTCAGACCACAGGGGCGGGGCAGTCTGCAGGTCCTAGGGCCTTGATGGAGGGCCCAGCAGCGAGGCCCAGGGATGGGGCTGGAGGGCAGCAGGCAGTCAGCCCTCAGCTCACACATGCCCCCTTCCCAATACCCCAGCGTTGCTCATTCTGCCACACACAGGCATAAGCCCTGCCCCTGCCCCTGCCCCTGCCCCTGCCCCTGCATCCCAGGCCCAGGCGCCTCCTCCGCCTCCGCCCTGGGGACCAGCAGTAGAATCAGAGGGAGGGCAACATCTGGAAGGCAGGTGGGCTGGGGCAGAGCAGCAGCTGGAGGGCAGGTGTAGGGGGAGTAGGCAGAAGCAAAGGAGCCTGGGGGTGGGGGTGGGGGTGGGCCCTGGGTCTACAGCTGCATCGCAGCTGGTGGGGTCCCTGAGTGGGACTGAACCAGCACACGGCTAGGGCCAGGCGAGAACAGGAGAAGGGAGGCTGGGCCCAGTGGGCTGAAGATGGGGAGGCTCCAGGATGGGTGGGGGCCCGGGGAGGTGGTGTCACCAGCAGCAAGTGCAGCCTTGGGAGCTTCTGCTTTCCTCTTCCTTGGGATAAATATTTATAGATTCATTTGCCGTCTGCCATACACACTTGGCTGCTTACCTCCTGGTAAAAATAGTGCAGGCTCTCCCACTCCTCCCCTTCCCTTCTCCATCCAGGGAAGGGGACAGAAGGGACCAGGTGAGACCTGCTCCCCCAGATGTCTGTTGGAGGAAAAGTGTCACAGAGCCTGCCAGCCACCTGGCAGTTCAGTGGGTGTACGGCGACAAGGGGCTTTCTGCTGCTGTGAGAAGCAGCCCCATGCCATTGTGTAGGGATCTGGGCGTGGGCAGCACAGACTGGGCACTGTAGACAAACATCTGTAGAGTGGGCACCCAGCTCGGGCAAGGATCCAAGGCCCTGAAGACAGGGCCACAGGACTGGTTAGAACCACGGGCAGGCTGCACAGACCCTTTTCTGGCAGTGGGCTGGGATGTCATCCAGTCTGCTCTGGGCCAAGCAAAGCCACACATACTATGGCAGCTGGTGAGGAGGCAAGGGTCTGGGTCCACTGGGCAATGTGAATGTCAAGGGACAGTTGTCTGTGTCCGGTGCCTGTGGATGAGGCCCCTGGGCAGACACCAGGTGGCCTCTCAGTGGGCTCCCAGGGGTGTGAGTTTTCTGGTGTTGCATCCATCACAGTGAAGCCTCTCTCACCGTGCAGCAGGGGAGCAGAGCACCCCACTTAACCTTCTGATCTGTGTGGGATGCACCCATTTCCCTGGCAGGAGCCACAGAGAAATACGTGTGGCCCTGTACACAAAGTAATTGTGGGCTGGGTTCAGTAATGAATAGTTGGACAGGCAGATGGATGGTCAGATAGGTGAGTGCGTGGGGTCACTGTGTGTGTGTGTGTGTGTGTGTGTGTGCATGTCCACCTTTGCTGGCCCCCAGGACCCCAGTGCCCTGATCGGGCAGAGTGAAGGCTAAGCAGCCATGAGAGGACGGGTAGCACTCAAGGAGCCTTGTTAGCATTTCTGGCTGCTCGTGTGGGCTGTCATGTCGGAAATCAGGCAGGCTTCTGGGCCTGCCACTGGGGATCTCAGCAGCTCCAGCCTGTCCTGGCTGGGGCTCTTCTGGGCTGAGCAGAGGAGGAGGACAGGGGCCCTGGGACGGTGTCGCAGGAACTCTGTGCTTGGATGGTCCCTTCCTGAGGCTTAGGGAAGGGAACAGCAGTAGGAAATGGCCAGGGGGCCTGCGGAGGCTACAGAAGGCCAGGCAGACCCTGAGGAAAATAGAGACCTGCGGGTCCCTGGGTGGCTGAAAGCCAAGGGAACAGCTCTGTTATCCAGCAGGCAGGGGTTAGAGTGAGCAGGTCCCAGGCACCTGGCCTGGCAGAGGAGCTGCCAGGGGATGAGATGCTGAGTTGGGGAAGGTGCCAGGCAAGTACTGCTGGGACAGCAAGGCTAGAGGTTGGCACAGGCTAGAAGCTGGCTGTGTGCTGATCCCCCCAGGGACCTGTGGTGAGGTAGAACACTCATGTGTGAAGCAGGGCTGCCGCAGTGCAGCTGCCACTTGTCAGCCTCGCCACCACCAGCCCCTTTGCCTGCCTGTGCCTTAGTTTCCCATGAGTCACAAACCACTTCTCCAAGAAGCTCTTTAGGGCCAGATGCCTAGGAAATGTTTCTAGGAACCAGCTGATTGAAGTCTTCATTCGTTCATTTTGAGCCACCTACACCTCCTGTGTGCCAGGCTGTGAGGCTGGCCCTGGGCCTCCCAGGCTAACGGGGGAGAGAAGCACATGCCAAGCAGAGCCAGGGCAGGATGGCGGGACCGTGGTCAATCCGGGAGGCCTGTGGCTCAGGGGATGCGATTCTGTTCAGGGGGTGGGTGTGCGTGGCATGCAGTCCTCTTACCACGTTCCCCCTCCATCCCTGCAGCTGAAGGCACCCGGTGCACCGACCCGCCTGCAGGCAAGCCCGCGATGGCGGCCAAGCGCAAAGGTGGCCTGAAGCTCAACGCCATCTGCGCCAAGCTGAGCCGCCAGGTGGTGGTGGAGAAGGGAGCAGAGGCTGGCTCCCAAGCTGAGGGCAGCCCACTGCGGCCCCGAGACAAGGAGCGCAGTGGCCCTGAGTCTGGGGTGGCCCAGGCTCCCCGAAGTGAAGAAGACAAGAGGCGAGCAGTGATAGAGAAGTGGGTAAACGGGGAGTACAGTGAGGAGCCAGCACCCATGCCCATGCTGGGGCGAATCCCCCGAGAGGGCCTGGAGCTGCCGCCCGAGGGAGTCTACATGGTCCAGCCCCAGGCCTGCAGCGATGAGGAGGACCACACTGAAGAGCCCCCCAAAGATGGTAACGGCCTGGAGGAAAAGGACTCGGAAGGGGCAGCCTCAAAGGACAACAGTGGCCCCGGCGCCAAGCAGGCTTCAGGTGGGTGTGCGGCCCTGGAGTGGAGTGTGAAGTCTGGGAGGCTGGGTGGGGGCAGCATGTCCAGGGAATGCCCCCGTGTCCTCTGTCCTGGCCCAAGACAGGGAGGAGTCCCAGGTAGCAGGGCACAGAGGGACAAAGAAGCAGGCCGAAGGCGCTGCCCCCACAGAGAGGATGTTTGAGAAAGAGTGGTGTGCAGATGGGCAGACAGGCCAGAGAGCTGGCAAGCGGGTGGGCATCCGCACACCCACAGAGTGGCGAGCCTGTCATGGGGCCATAGTACGGCCGTAAGTGCAGGAACAGCGGGAGGGGGGCAGCGAGGTGAACCCCATGAGCTCTCTGTCTCCATCTTCTCTCTCTAGGGGGCTTCCATGAAGAGGCTTTGTTCTCACCTCCTCCCTCTGCCTTCCTCCCTGGGCCTCTGTCTCCGGGCCCTCCTAAGCAGGACCTTTCTGCCTGGCCCAGCCAGAAGACCCCTTTCCACCCAACTGCTGGACACAGTCCTCCCTGGTTCTCCCCTTCCCAGAAGATGGCTGAGGCCCAGCTCCTCTAGTGTCTCCTTGTCCATAAGACTCAGAGCAGCCTGGAGCTTTCTGCTTCAAGAAGGCAGGCGGGCAGAGATCCCCACTAGGACTGGAGCCAGGGGTCTGGGACCTTCGCTCTGGGACCCTACCTCCTTCCCAGGCTTGTGCCTCGAGCCCTGAGCCTCCCTGCCTGCTTCCCTGTCCCCCTTCCCCCTGCAGCAAGGGGCGCATCTACTCCCTGTGCGGGGAGCCCTGCGCAGCCACATAATTATGCATATAAGATATAAACAGAGCTGTTTAATTATCCTTCGCCACATCAGTGACAGAGTAATTAACAAACATTGCAAGATCAATGAGGAAAAGTGTGACCTTCAGTTTCCTCTGATAGGAAAAGCCCTTGCTGTTGCCAGACACAAGGTGATTGTGCTGGGCCTGAGAAGAGGGGGACAGTGACAAGGACTGCTATCTCTTCAGCAACCCCCTCCACACCCACTTTGCCCATGGTGAGGCGACGGCATGGGCCTCACCTCCTGCCTCCTTCCCTCCTGGGAGCAGGGATTGGGAGGCCTGACTCGAGGCATGGACTCTTCTTGGCCTTGTGGCCCTAGGCCTCGCTGATCAGCCCTGAGCACTTAGCGCCAGCCAGCTAGCCCTGCTGCCAGGCCACCTTCCCTGGGCCCTGGGGCTCAGGAACGCAGGGCTCGGTGCTGTCTCAGGGACCCCCGCCTGGCCCCCTCCCTGCTCAAAGCTGCCTGCCCTTCAGAGCTTTCTGTTTCTCTGCCATATATAGTGAGGGCTCAGCTGCCTCCAGCTATTTTTAGCCCCTTTCCCTGGTCCCTGAGCCACTGCCTCCAGCAGCCAGAGCCCACTCCTCCTGCTAGGTCCCCAACCTGTGTGGCTGGAGCTCCGGACAGTGGCTGACCACCCACCCTGCCAGGGCAGCAGCATTCTGTGTTCTCCTTGAGTCACTCTGCCAAGCCTGTCCTCCTGTCACCCAGTGGGGTCCTGGTGCCCCCCAGGAATTCTCCCCCCAAGGAGCTCAGAGCCCCTTCTACGTCCTGCTGGGTTTCTCACCCACTCCATCAGACCTGCTCTGGGAACCCAGATCCCGAAAGTTTGGGCGGCACTGGGAGGGGCCCCTCATGCCACACCTTCCCTTGGCTGTGCTGTTAGGACCCCCAGCGTGGGACTACTGGGGCAGACCTCTGCAAAGAGGAGAAAGCGTGGTATCCCCTGGGTGTCACTGCCTGTGTGCGCCCAGGCCCGATTCGGGGCGGAGTCACGGGCTGTGTACATGGTTCAGGGGAGGAACAAGTGCTGTGCACATGAGTGTGGGGGCACCCACCTGCTGTGGCGAGGGGCCTAGAGAAGAGGTGCTGGGTGGAGCTGGCTTCCTCCTGCATCCTGAGAGTGGTCTTGGAGAGCTGAGTGTGGCACTTGGGGGATTGTACGTGTGTGTATCTGTAGAGTTGGGGGAAAGTCGCTAGGGATGCTGCAAGCTTGTGAGTCTCTTGAGTGTGGGTGTGTGAAAGCATGTGAGTATGCATGTATGGGTTAGATCAGAAAATATGGTGAATGTTTACATTTTAAAATTTTTTACAGTGAATGGCACATTGCTGTTAGTTCCCCTCAACATGCGCCCATCATTCCCCTCATTCTTGGCAGTATGTCTTTTACTGTATTAAGTTTTTAAAATTTAAACACCCACTGTATTTTTATTGCATGTACATGTGAGTAGTGTGTGAGAGCAGTGTGTGCATGAGGGCAGGCGTGTATATTTTAGGTGAGCATGTACAGCGATGGTGTGCACGTGTCTGGGTGTGTATGAGAGGGTATGGTCGCTGGGGGAGGCCACTCCAGGGCTCTGTGTGCTGAGGGTGAGGACGGTGGGGATGATGGATGACCCAGGGCCAGCCTCTCTTGCCGGCCTTGCCCTGTGCTAAGCACAAGTCAGTAGGGTGAGCAGGGAGTTTGAAGCTGTCCACAACAGGAGTCTTGGCTGGAGGAGCCCTGAGTGAGTCTGGCCGGGCACCTTTACCCCATCCCTGCCCTGCCTAGCTCTTGTGGAGACCAGGAAGCCAGGTCCTGGGGCATCTGGAGCAGGTCCCAGAGAGCCGTTTGTGGGGGCCTGAGAAGGTTCCCTAGCCAGACCAACCTCCATCCCATCCAGAGTGTCTCCCCCAGCCCCTGGCTGTCTCTCAACTGTCCAACCACCACCCATGTCCCTACCTGTCCCTGGCCCCTATGACTGCTGCCCCTACCCCAGGAGGCAGGTTGGGATCTGGCCTTACTTCCAGTAAGATGACTTCCCTTTCATATTAGACCAAAGCGAGAGAGCGGAGACATTTATGAAACTTTGTTTAATGTACTGAAAAGCCATCGGCCAGAACATTTAGGAAATTGATTTTCCTGGCATTGATGAACTCGTTTTATTTTACCCCAGTATTAATTACTTTTTTTTAAAACAAATTAATTTAAGAGTCGTAAAACCTAACAAGTGAGCCACATGTCCATAGATCATGTCCTGCTCTGCCCCTCCCCACACGGCCCCTCCCTCCAGGGATGGGGGCTTATGGCGAGGCCTCCTGTCCCTTCCCGACTTGATGCGCCTCTCTCCTCCCCTTAGGAGAGACCTCCTCACTGCGGGACTATGCAGCTTCCACTATGACCGAGTTCCTCGGCATGTTCGGCTACGATGACCAGAACATGAGGGATGAGCTGGCCAGGAAGATCAGCTTTGAGAAGTTGCACGCAGGCTCCACACCTGAGGCGGCCACCTCCTCCATGCTGCCTACCTCAGAGGATGCCCTCAGCAAGCGGGCGCGGTTCTCCAAGTACGAGGAGTACATCCGCAAGCTCAAGGCAGGAGAGCAGCTCTCCTGGCCAACCCCTGGCACCAAGGCAGAGGAGCGGGCAGGCAAGGAGGTGGTGGGTCCCCTGCCCAGCCTGCGGCTGTCCAGCAACACTACCCACCTGGAGACCAAGGCCACCATCTTGCCCCTGCCATCACACAGTAGTGTCCAGATGCAGAACCTGGTGGCTCGTGCCTCCAAGTATGACTTCTTCATCCAAAAACTGAAGACGGGTGAGAACCTGCGGCCCCAAAATGGAAGTACCTACAAGAAGCCATCCAAGTACGACCTGGAGAATGTCAAGTACCTGCACCTCTTCAAACCAGGGGAGGGCAGCCCTGACATGGGCGGGGCCATCGCCTTCAAGACTGGCAAGGTGGGGCGCCCCTCCAAGTACGACGTCCGGGGCATCCAGAAGCCCGGCCCCACCAAGGTTCCGCCCACCCCCAGCCTGGCTCCTGCACCCCTCGCCAGTGTGCCCAGCACTCCCAGTGCCCCCGGGCCAGGGCCTGAGCCACCTGCCTCCCTGTCCTTCAACACTCCTGAGTACCTGAAGTCCACCTTCTCCAAAACAGACTCCATCACCACAGGCACCGTCTCCACTGTCAAGTAAGGCACTCCCCACCCTGTTGCCACCCAAGCCCTGGGCAGGACTGGATGCTCCTGGGAGCCCTGCTCTGCTCCTTTCCTGTGATGTTCATGGGAGTGGGCACATCCCCTCATGCAGCCGGATACTCACGCCAGACTCAAGTACCGGTTTATACACGCACCTGCACATACGCACACGCACACGTGAGCATGCACATTTACTCGGTAACCACTCCTTCCTGTGTGCTTATACTTGCACACGACTCGTCTCCCCATGCACCCTCAACCCTGTCACACACCCAGGCATCAGTATGGACACTTATTTGCCAATATGCATGCCAAGGACCACTGTTGCCCCCCTTGCCATGCTGCCACAGGACTGGTTGCAGGCTGTGGTTGGTTAAGACAGCCCTGCCCTGGGTGGGGTGCCCAGGTCCATGTTGGAGCCTTGGCTTCCAGGCTCACAGCCTGGGCCATGGAGGAGGCAGGAAAAAGCAGGTAGGAGGCTGAGCAGGGTGCATATGCCCTTTCAGCTTAACCAGGAATGGGGCGCTGGCCCAGGTCATGGGCAGCTGGGTGAGACCTTTCCTCACAGCCCTTCCTGCCCTGCGGCAGTGTGGGAGCCTGGAGCCCCAAGGCAGATCCAGGGTGCACCCTCCTGCTGGGAATAGAATGGGGATGAGACACTTCCTTCACTGAGGGCCACCCACTTTCTCCTGTGTTCCTGTCCTGGGTGCTGGTACTCCTCCCTGAGTGCCGGGGTTCTGAGCTCTGGCTTTGGAGGCTTTTGCCCTGGTGGACTCTAGGCCCAGCCCTCCAGCCTTCATCAGAATTGGGCTAACTGAGCCTGTGCCAGGCTTGTGCCTGGAGACTTTGGCAGTCCCACCCCAGGTGCTTCAGAAACCTGCACAGCCAAGGGGAGCAGGGCCAGGGCCCAGGGCATGGAGCTGTCCACCAGAAGCTGCTGGGGCAGAGGCCATCCCCCGCCTGCTAATCGGCTGTGCCCTGTGTGTCTCGCCAGGAACGGATTGCCCACAGATAAGCCAGCTGTCACCGAAGATGTAAACATTTACCAGAAATATATTGCCAGGTAGGCCCCCGGGGAGGAGACTGTGTGCAGAAAAGGTTGGGGAGCCCGGAATGCCCACGGGTGGAGGGACCATACATGCTCCTCTCTCCACTAGGGCCAAGGGTCTGCCTTCCCCCATCCCACTCACTCATACCCCACAAGCCCATCTCAGACTCACCCTTTGGTGTGAGCCAGGCCACACAGTCTTTCAGCAGTTTGTACTGCAGGCCCGGGGTGTGGGAGGAGCCTGACTGCCTGGGCCTTGCCCTCATGTGCAGCTCAGGCAGGTGTCAGGGCTGACCAGGGTGTGGGCAGTCATGCTCTCTGACATGGCCCCCTGGCCTCTCCCCAGCAAGGCCCTACCATACCTGACACCAGATCTCTGGTGTCGGCCAGCGAAGACCCTCTCCAGCGACCCCCAGATCAGGCCCTGAGGCATGGTAGAGGCCATGCCCAGTAGCATCTGCCTTTCTTTAGTCCTTCTCTGTCTCTACCTCCCTTGTCCCTCAGTCTCTTCTGCTTTGCTCTTCTCTCTTCTCTTTATTATTATCACTATCATTATTATTAGTGCCTCAGCAGATGGCCCTTTTGGCAGCTTCAGCTTAAATATTTATTTGCAAGTGGTTTTCCCCCTTACAGTGAGGCTTCTCTTCCGTCTCCTGCAATCGCATCATCCACGGAGGGAGCCAGAGCACCTTCTCCACACATGCGTGCTTTCCTCTCCCCAGGGCTGGCCCGCTGAGGTTGGCTGGGAGAACCACCCAGGCAGTGTAGGGCCTGAGAGGGACCCACATTTTGGGAGGCTGCAGTGGTCAGGAGGTGTGGGGCTCCTGGCTGCACACTTGGCTGGAGAGTGAGCTCCCTGCCATGGGAAGCCAAACAGATGCTGTGCTTTAAAAATTCATAACTCTGGGCTGTTTCAAGTGTCAGGAAAAGCCCAGAACAGAGAGAGCCCTTTAACACTTCTCAGTTACAGAGCTCTGGGCTGGCCCAGCCTGGGTCCCCTCCCTGGGAGGTCTGGGTCGATCTGGCCACGACCTGCAGGAAGGCTGTTGGACTGCCACAGGGCTGCGGGTCTCCTCCCCAGCTTCTTCCTCCCTATCAGGCACCAGGCCTGTGCCTCACCTGGCCCTTGCTCCCAGGCAAATACCGGAGTCCTGAAAGGCTGTCACTGGCCCTGGCATCCCCAGGCCTCTGCCATGTCCCCTCTCATCCCCACACAGACCCCCCTGAACCCCAGCAGCCCATCCCTGGGCCTGGGGCCTGGGAAGAGCCGTCCCGGGCTGTCACTCAGTGAGGGGCCTGACCACCTGTGTCTCTTCAGGTTCTCAGGCAGCCAGCACTGCGGTCACATCCACTGCGCCTACCAGTACCGCGAGCATTACCACTGCCTGGACCCAGAGTGCAACTACCAGGTAAGGGCCTCCTCCTGCTCTACGCAGGCCACAGGGCTTAGCCTGAGCAGGCAGAGTGCAGCTTCCAGCACCCCCGCACCAACCCCGCCTGTCCTCATTCCCAGTTCCTGCTGAGAAAACTGCTGGTCAGCTCTGCAGTGCTCGATGCCCTGGGGATAACCATTCTGGGTCCCTTGCCCTGGAGCCTAGCATAGACTAAGGCCTGTCCCAGACAGTCTGTGCACGTCAGCTGACCAGCTCTCTCCAGTGCCTTGTAAGGTTATTTTCCCATTTTCAAGATGAAAACAAGGTTCAGATAGAAAGTGTTCATAGCTGCTGTTGGCAAGTGCAGAGCTAGTGAAGAGGTGCTCTGGGATGTCTGCACATGCTGCTCCTCCACCTCACAGGGAGCCCCGTCTGGTGTCACCCACAGGTGCCCATCAGAGCCCCAGCCATCGGGGCTTGCCCAGTGCTTCAGAGCTACGGCCGTGGCTGTTGGGAGCCTGGGAGAGGTCAAGGAAGGGTCTGTGGCTCCCAGCTTTGGAACTCTTCCCACCAAGGGACAGCATACCCAGAACTAGCTGGGCAGTCTGGGCTGCCTCAGCCCTGAAGGGTTATAGATAGGGTGACCCACAGGCCCTGGGGCCAGCCCCTGGCCCAGGCACTTTTGGCACACGGGCTGGGGGCCCAGGTCCCTACCGACTAGGCACTCTCTCCCGGCAGAGGTTCACGAGTAAGCAGGATGTGATCCGACACTACAACATGCATAAGAAGCGCGACAACTCCCTGCAGCACGGCTTCATGCGCTTCAGCCCACTAGACGATTGCAGCGTCTACTACCACGGCTGCCACCTCAACGGGAAGAGCACCCACTACCACTGCATGCAGGTGCCACCGCCCCGCCCCTGCCGCCGTGCCTATGGGCCCTGGCAGCCCCAGAACCTCTCAGCCCACTCCAGCGTGTGCTCTCCCCGCAGCCCGTCAGTCCGGGGCAAGGCCCCGGTAGAACAGAAGTTTCACTCTCTCCTGGCCCGGGGCAGAGGCGGCTAGAGAGCCGAGACCCCCGGGGACTCAGGCATGGGTAGTGTCTGGTGGCCAGGGTGGGGCCTTCCTCGTGGCCATACTTGGTGTGGGGGAAATTCAGTGAGCTGTTTATACAGACCAACATTTTTCAGGCTTTAACACCAAGAGCAGCATTGCAAATGATTCCTGAGGAGGTTTTTGTTTAATTCTTTGTTTTAATGCCATGCAGAGTCTGGGCTTTTTCAAGGTGTCAGACCCAGGAGGAGCGACTTTGGGTTGCAAATAGCAGCCTACGCGCCTCCCTCATATTTGTCAGGGGTTGTTATGGCCTCTGTGGAACAACCTGGGCACGAGGAGAGGGGGGCCACCCTCCAGGCCTGAGATGGTGCAGACACTGGCACAGCCCAGTCATCAAGGGTGCTAGAAGCCACTGCTTTTTACTCAATATGGCAACATTGCCTGCCCGGCCCGGCAGCGGTGGGTGGGAGGTGCCCAAGAACCTTCCACTGAGAAAGTCGCTGAGCTAAAGGTGACCAGGGTTCAGCTCTGCCCACCCCGTGTGGGCTTTCGAGGTGAGGCCTCAGACTGGGATGCAAAGCTCAACCCCTGCCAAGTGAGGCTCCCTTGCCTGGGCCCAAAAGTGCATGGGATCCAGTACAGCCCACCTTGGGCAGGTGCCAGTCCCACCCTGGTGGCCCGGGGGCTGTGAGAGGTGTTCTCTCGGGACAGGAGGTGATGGAGGGTTCAGGTGGCAGAGCCCTGAGCAGAGACCCTGTGGCTCTGGCCACTCCCAGAGCTCCGGCTTCCCCCAGCGGGACCGGGACTCAGCTCCCTGACCACCATCTGGCCTGCGCAGGTGGGCTGTAACAAGGTGTACACAAGCACGTCCGACGTGATGACCCACGAGAACTTCCACAAGAAGAATACGCAGCTCATCAACGACGGCTTCCAGCGCTTCCGAGCCACTGAGGACTGCGGCACAGCTGACTGCCAGTTTTATGGACTGAAGACCACACACTTCCACTGCAGGTGAGCGGGTGGCACAGGGCTCCCACCGGAGGGCAGAGGTGGGGAACCGAGCCTGCAGGGTTCCAGGCCCTGCTCGGGGACCCCAGCTTAGTGTCCAGCCACACTCTTGCGCCCAACGGACTGTACCTCCCAGGACGTGGGGAGCTGTCCTGTGACCGCTTCCAATGTCCCACGCAGGCGCCCTGGCTGCACATTCACCTTCAAGAACAAGTGTGACATCGAGAAGCACAAGAGCTACCACATCAAGGATGACGCCTACGCCAAGGATGGCTTCAAGAAGTTCTATAAGTATGAGGAGTGCAAGTATGAGGGCTGCGTGTACAGCAAGGCCACCAACCACTTCCACTGCATCCGCGCCGGCTGTGGCTTCACCTTCACCTCCACCAGCCAGATGACCTCGCACAAGCGCAAGCACGAGCGCCGCCACATCCGTTCCTCGGGTGCGCTGGGGCTGCCGCCCTCACTGCTGGGCGCCAAGGACACAGAGCATGAGGAGTCGAGCAACGACGACCTGGTCGACTTCTCTGCCCTGAGCAGCAAGAACTCCAGCCTGAGCGCCTCTCCTACCAGCCAGCAGTCCTCTGCGTCCCTGGCCGCTGCCACCACCACCACCGCTGAGGCTGTGCCCGGTGCCACCAAGCCTCCCAGCAGCAAGGTCTCGGGGCTTCTGCCCCAGGGCCTGCCTGGCTCCATCCCACTGGCGCTGGCCCTCTCCAACTCTGGCCTGCCCACCACTGCGCCCTATTTCCCCCTCCTTCCCAGCCGGGGGAGCGCTTCCCTGCCTGTGGGCGCCCCCGGCCTGCTGGGTGCCATGTCATCTGGGGCAGTGGCTTCGGCTGCCCCTGATACGCCTGCTCTGGTGGCCTCAGGAACTGGAGACTCGGCTCCAGCAGCTGCCACCTCTGTCCCGGTGCCCCCTGCCTCCATTATGGAGAGGATCTCTGCGAGCAAAGGCCTCATCTCTCCCATGATGGCCAGACTGGCTGCGGCCGCCCTCAAGCCCTCTGCCACCTTTGACCCAGGTGAGCAGGCTGGGTGCTGCCCAGGAATCAAGCACCCTGTAGACCCCAGTAGCTGCCTGGGCTCCGGCTGCAGAGCAGGGGAATATGGGAAGGGTTACCTGTCAGATCCCTGCACCCCATCCTCCCACCAACCAGCACCTCGTCTTTGCCTGGTCTCTGCCTCCATCCTGTTTATTTCCTCTTTGGAGTGCCTCACTCGGGCCCAACCCCAGGGCGCTCTTGCCTCTGTTTCTCCTGAAGCAGGGCAAGAGTCCCTGCCTCCAGGGGTGCGGATGTGTCCTGGTAGCCCCTGTCTCCTCCACATTATGGATGGGTCCCTAAGAAGAGCTGTCCCCTCCCTGCCCCCGGCCTCCTCACCTGACTTCCAGAGGGACACATCTAGCCCAGTGGCAGCTGGCTGCCCGTCACGCCTGCTCAGCGCCTCCAGGCTCTTCCCCGGTAGAACTTCCTGTGGCCTAAGAACCTTCCACTCTGCCCTATCAGCCCCGTGCAGCTGTTTACACTGGCTAGTGTGATGAAGGTGGACGGTGACTGACTCCCTGAACTCCCAGGAGCCACACTGGGCTTGGTGCTGTGCTTGCAGTTACCCCTTCCGGTCAGCCCTTCTCACACTGGCTCACTGTGGGGTAGCTGTCCTAGCGTGTTCCCTCCCTGCCTCTTTCCTCTCTCTTTAGTTTTCTCCCACTTTTCCCCTTGCTTTTTCTTTTATTTTGCTCTTCTGTTTCCCTTTAGCCTCTCTCCCTTGGTTTCCTCACCTGGCTAATAAGTATTAGCTGGTCTTTGTGAAAAGTTCAGTCTGGGATGTGGCTCATTTCATTCATTCATTCAACAACCACTGGTGATTGCCAAGGGCCGCTTGCTAGGTGCTTCCTGAGGGCAGATACTGAGCTGGTGCTGGGACCCATAGGCCAGAGGACAGAAGCCCCGCCCTGTGGAGCTGCTGGAGCAGTCAGGATACCCTGTCCCCAGGCACACAACTACAAGCAGTGAAGTCAACACCGAGGCCCCAGTGCTCTGGCTGCTGGCTGAATGCTCGCTCCCCTTTGAGACTGTCGCGGAAGCAGCCAGGACAGAGGGTCCCCGCATCTGCAGGGTGCCTACGCTGGGCCTGCTTCCTTAGGAACAAGGGACAAATGACTTCTCTGCTGGACTATGGACTCCAGAGGGCCACACATATCCCAGGTGGCAATTTGGAAGGACCAGCGCCCACTCCAGGAGTGGGGAGGGTCCTGCCCTGGCTATGCCCCACACGGGCCTGCAGGCTGGGCGAGACCTACTGTAGAGCCACCTCGGGCTCTGCGGCCAGACTGTCAAGTACGTCTTTCCTTAGACAGATCTCCTTCCCCAAAAAGAAAGGTCAAAGCAAGGGGGGGGGTGCCGTTTCCTTTATTTTTAATAAAATGCCACTTGCTGTCTGTGAAGCAGCTCTCTGTCAGCTGTAGCGCCTTGGGGCAAATTAATATTTCAGTCACTTGGGGATTGTGGAGCAAGGCTCAGTGGACACGCTCCTGTCAGCAACTTCTTTTGCCCCTGCTCTGCTCAGCCTCTTGCAGCCTCTTCCTGCCCAGCTCCCCCTCCATCCCAGCCTGGCCGCGGGGGCGGGCCTGGAGTCCCTGCCCTGGACAGCTTGATGGGCGAGGTCACACAGTTTGAACTGCCGGGGATTGGCCGACAGCCTCCATAGCCCTGACACAGCAGATGCCCTCCCCAGGCATGCTCAGTGTAGGCAGGGCTGTCGCCCCGGCAACAGCGGGCCGGGACCAAGGAGGGGCTGCTCCCAGTCCAGATCTGCCACTTTCCCTCAGCATTAACAGAGTCTTTAATAAAAGCTTAAGCGGCAGCCCCACAAATCGACTGTGACAGTTGGTGGAGAAAATGAAGGGGCCCCCGCCCGCCCCCCCC